AAAAGTGCACATTTCAAAGGATGGCAAAAAATAAAACATTAGATGTGGAATGAATCTGATTTAACAAAAACCTTTTGAGCGTCCACAAAAAATGTGTGTTTTGAGGACTGTATCCGTAGCACATGTGACGAATGTCGACACTGGATTTGTATGTAATATGAGCATTTTCATGTGAAGTTGCTACATGTTTGATGTAAGTGTTGCCTGACATCTTTATGTTTGTTATCATGCAGAGTTGGTCTTGATGATTATCTGTTTAAAAAAAAAAAAGATTTCACAATGTCAACAGTTATTCTTCATAATAATTGCGATTTCGTAAATTGCCTAAATCTACATCTGCTGCGAGTTTTTTCTAAACAGCCAATCTGCTGTTATAACGATTTTTATAATATTATAGGCTAAAAAAAAGCAAAACCCAAATCAGTATTAACGGCTAAAAAATGAAATAATAAGCACAATAATCATCTAATAGTCATGATAGATTTGAAGACTGGCTGAAAAAGCAGGCATGGTCATGTGTTTATTGCTTTTTTTCACACTACTGTTGGATCATGATTGTGATAATGAGATGGCAAGCCTGAAACTGCATGATTGTGTTAAACTTATGTGAGAATGTAAATGAATCTGAAACTGTGCACGACTGAGCTCTGGTCTTTAAGACAACAATGGAACGAATCAATAAAGTCTATTTTTGTTGCTTGAAATGATTTTATTACCACTGGTTTGCTGTATAAAGATGCCTCAACAGCTCCACTAAATTTGGATGTATAAACAGATGTCTGAGAAACCGTTATCACATCTTGGGTATGAGGGCAGGAGAGATCAAACGGGCAGCAGTCATAACTTTCTGGCAGTCATAAAGCAGCCGAGCTTTTCTGTGACACAGACAAAACAACCGAGGGTCACCCAGATCACTACCGATGGCTGTATTCCCAGACCCTCTGCTGCTGCCATCCCAAAATATCCTCTGACACACTTGGCTCTCATTAAAGACACACCACCCACAGATGGGCTGCTTTCTCAGTCATATGCTGCACTTGCGTCTCTAATAGCGCCTCTGATTGTTATTATTATCATGCATCATCTGTTTTTTATTAGTTACAAATGTGTTAGGAGCTGATGAGAATGTTGGCTCACTCATTTGGCCTGTTGGCTAATTGGCATGTTGGTCCAAACAAAATGTTTCACTAGCTAAGGCTATTCTTTATATTCGTGATCCACAGAGGAGGAGGAGTCGTGATCCCCCCATAAGGGTAATTTGGAGTAACTTTGGTGATCTGCAGACCCTCTCTGTCCCACCTTCCTGTCTGTGTGGCAGCTTTTCTTGTAGGTACTAAGTAGAGGCATCACAGCCAACACCTGGGCCTGGTGTGCTGGTCCTCTTTCAAAGCACTCCACTGGAGCTCAGTCGTTGGAGTCCTCGCCTCTCTGAGACATCCATTTGGTTTGTTAGTGAGCGTTTGGTTCATGGCATTCAGAACTTCTCACCTCACATATTCACCTACACTACTGAGCCCACTAATAATACTTTATGTGGTATTTTTCTTTGTTTCTTATGATTTTGAATCATGATCAAGTTCTTCTTATGATCAAGAAGTGTATTTTGGTATTGGTATTTGGTGAATTTTGGTAGTTTGCTAGAAATATAGACTGCCTATTTAGCCATATGTTTAGTCGCTAAATGACATTGCTAGAGAGGTGGTACTCAGTAGTAGTAAATACAATGTTATAAATAAGCTGCTAAAAGGAAAATAATCTAATTGAAAGTTTTAGTTAAGTAAATGCATAAAGTATTAGAAAACATAAATATCAAAAATAAAGTCAACTAAAATCGTATCTACTGTATAGTTTTCCATTATTATTTATTTATTATCATGTGCTAGCATGTTAAACATAATCTATAAAGTACTTGCTCAACTTGTTATACAAAAAAGTAAAAAGTATAT